CTCCTGGAGCCTCAGCCTCGGAGCCCTTGAATCATGTCCTACCCTGATCTTACCTGAGAAATATGAAGATCGCTTTCTGGTAGGAGACCCCATCCACCAGGTCGTAATAGTCTAGGAAAGGCTTGATGGCATCTATGAGGCCTGCGTGCATCTTATCCATTTCATCAAATATGAAGATGGACCTCGCACAGGCACTCACGTTGCCTCGAATCCACAGCTGTAACTGATCCTGAATTATAAGGGGAAAGCCAACACAAAGTTCTCAGCAAGGGCCATCGTAACAACTCTTTCTACCACTAAATACAATGGCCGCACTTAGAGTGCTGGGTGCTCAGTGCTAAGAACTTCACATGAACAAGCTCTTCTGTCCCTAATGACCATACGTGGGCCATTATGATGCTCTTTTACAGATGAGGAAAATGAGGCAGAGAGAGCTTACTCGACTTGCCCAGGATTATAAAATTAGTATGTGGCAGAGCTGGGATCTGAACCCAGCCCTGACTGATTCCAAAGCCCCACACTTAGATTATAATTCCTGTGCTGAGAGATACCACATAGATGCTATGTCAGAGTTGCTGGCCTTCTGTCATCAAAATGGCAATGTTAATGTTAACACATATCCTGTGTACACCAGTCTTCTTGGAAGAAGGCAGGGGCCAAGTGACGCACTCTCTCATTCAATCCACAGAACCGCCCGGAGCAGGTGCTCCAACTCTCAGATGGGAAAAGTAGTGAACACAGGTTCACTTAAGCCAAGTAGCTTTACTTGAGAGCTCTCACGCTCATGAGCCCGGTGAGGTCACACTTGAGTTCCTGGAACAATGCCTGGAGGTTTCCGAAATAAATTTGTCTAACCAGAAATATTCCACAAGAACAGATATTTCCTTCTTCTTCTGTCCTTGGCCATAAGAACATATTTAGGTATTTCTTATAATACTAAGCAATCACAGTAAGGAGAAAAGACTTCTGGAAGCCTTTTAATCAGAAAATGGAAAATCTATTTAATCTATATATTTTTTTCCCCTCACAGTCAGGTAGGGAAATTAGCTATTTGTTTTCTAAGACTCTGGAAGTTACACTGTAGGTCTTGACCTACTATTATTTTGGTTTTTACTTGGCTACTATGGCACATGGTTACAATGTTCTAGGTGTGTATCTAACGTAAGCAATAATTTTGCTCTGTAGGTACGGACTAGCCTGGATTTACAGAGGAAACTCAGGAAAGCTGAAGTGGTTGCTGAGGCCATGAGGTGAGTCATTGTTTACACAAGGATTCACTCACGCCTGCTGGGCTCCAACAGCCAAGGTTTTCGCGCTCTGCCACCCTGCTTTACATGCAATCGCAGAGAACATGTAATCTAAACACTGTTCATGTAACATTTTACTGTGACCTCCCCAAACCCATCAAGGTAGTTACTATTGTGTACCCTCTTTCATAGATGAGGAAATTGAGGCACAGAGAGGTTAAGTAACTTGCCCAAAGTCACACAGTTATCAAATTAGTGGAGCCACAATCCTAACTAGGATAACCAACTCATCTTGATCTGTTACACAGATCCTAAAAGGCAACAATGAATTTATTTGAACATTTATGTGCCCGGCACCATATTACATCTTGACTGACAGAGCTCATTGAATTCTCACAAGCACCAATTTGTAATGAAGAATGTGAGTCTCAGGGTGGGCAACTTTCCCAAGACTACAAAGCTGCTAGATGGGAGACTTAGGACCCAAATCCAGGTGTGTCTGCCGCCAAAGCCCAGGCTATTAACCAGTGAGTTAAACAGTCAAAGCAGTTTGCAACAGTTATGATAAACGAAATTCAGGCCTCTACAGAAGTGTTTCCTCTTTCACAAAATGAGTAAGATTTGATGATCTTTAATTTGGATTATGTCCATATCTAAAACTCTATGACCCCACTAACTCAACTGAGTATCACTGGGCCTATTTTCAGAAGCCTCCACAGAGCTTCAGTGGTGTGATTGCTCTGTGCATCTCAAACCCTCTGGAACTTCACTTCCCCACCTTTCAAAGGGGAACTGACACGTGGAGCCATTTTCAGGGCTAACTCATTTCAACATGGAATTCCCAAATCCCATCCCACAGCAAAGGAACCTCAAACCTGGCGTCATCCAGGAAGGATTCCAAATGTCTGCCCTTGCCTTGTACAGGGTGATATTCGAAGCATGTGGAAAGTGCAGCGTGGCCACAAACAGGTGGACATAGTCACTGTTCAGACCACCCTCATAAATATTCTCTGCGATGATCTTGCTGACAAAATTTTTGCCAGTGCCTGTCCACCCGTGTAGGGAGAGGGTGAGAGGTTTCTTGGGCTTCGGGTTGTTTATGAAACCAGACACAGCATTTAAGATGATTTTCTTTGCAAGATGCTGTCCAAAGAGCTTGCTGTCCAGATCCTTCTGCAGCGCTGGGAAAGACAAAGCCAGTCAGGAGGGAAAAGAAACAGCTGGCAAAATGTAGCCACATTTACAGGCCCTTGGGAAAGCCAGCAGAGCCAGGTAAGCCCTCTTCATGCACCTTGTGAAACGCTGGGGTACGGTGGGCTCTAAGCACTTGGCCCAGAGGGGAACCGTGGTCCAGGGAGCCCTCCCTTTGCTGGTCCCGCCTGTTCTAAAGCCCTTCCCCATCCTTCCTGAAAAGGCCCCGGGCTCCACTGCAGCTGCCTGCAGTTTGCACCTCTAACCCCTGCGTGGCTCCTCCCACCCCAAGGCAGGGCAGGGACAGAGTGCAGCTTGACCACCTCTGCTCTGCTCCGGAAGGGTCCCCACCATCCTTCCTGTCTCCAGCTAGGAAGGTGGCTGAACTGTCTTCAGAGGACGTTTACAACCGGTCCACCCCCAGTTCTGCTTGGAGAAGCCCAACCTGCAGCTTGTGTCCCCAAGCCTCCGACCAAAGTCCGGCCTGTCTGTGGTCGTGGCCAAGAAGCCAGGCCCCATCCTGCAGCCCGAGCCGCTAGGCTTCCTGGGTCCGGCTCCCTCCGGGCTGGGCTCTGCCCAGGTCTGGCCCTTACCCCCGGACCTTACCCCCGACCCCAGTCCGGCCCTCATGCCAGCCCCCTGCCCCGGCCCCAACCTACCCTCCCGGCTGAGGCTTGGCTTCTGGCTGCAGCACTCGGTGAAGAGGCAGAAGAGGCGCGGGTAGATGTAGCCGGTGAGGACGCCGGCCAGGGCCAAGCCCAGGCTGATGGGCTCCACCGCCCGCACCACCGAAGGCGCCAGCAGCAGCAGGCCCAGCGCGGCCCGGCCCAGCTTCATGCCCGGAACCGCGCTGCCCTGCGCGTTCTCGAGCTTACCGCGCACCCGCGCTACCGCCAGACTCGCGCTTCCGGTTCCTGCCGTCGTGGTGGCCATCTTTGTTTGGGGCAGGCCATTTCCAGACGTCAGAGGCCGCCATCTTTGTTCCGGGCAGAGACATTTTCTGCTTGTCAGTTCTCAGAAGCCCTAGTTGGCCACGGGTTTTTTATGGTTGTTTTTTGTTTTTGTTTTTTTTTAAATAATAGATTTTTTTTTTAAAGAACAGTTTTAGATTTCGAGAAAAGTTGAGAATAGTACAGAGAGTTCCCATATACCACCTCCTGCACAGTTTCCCCATTACTAAAATCTTATTGTACATTAGTATGCTACATTTGTTACAATTAATGAAACACTGTTGCTATGTTATTATTAACTAAAGTCCATAGTTTATTCAGATTTCCTTACTTAATGTCATTTTCTGCTCCAGGTTTCCATCCAGGATACCACGTTACATTTAGTTGTCATGTCTCTTTAGACTCCTTCAGGTTGTGACAGGTTCTCAGACTTTCCTTATTTTTCATGACCTTGATAGTTTGAGGAGTACCGGTCAAATTTTTTGCAGGATGTCCCTCTATTGGATCTTGTTTGACATTTTTCTCAGGATTAGATTAGGGCTATGGGTTTTGGAGGGACGATCGCAGAGGTAAAGTGCTGTTTTCCCAAGTGTAGGCACTATCAACATGCCTTAGCACTGCTAATGTTGACCTTGGTCACTGGACTGAAGTAGTATTTGTCATGTTTCTCCGCTGTAAAGTTACTCTTCTCCTCACCCCTCCTTTCCATACTGTACTCTTTGGAAGGAAGTCACTGTGCAGAGCTCATACCTAAGGAGTGGGGAGTTTTGCTCCACCAGAAATTATTTGGAATTCTTCAGCATGGGAGATTGTCTCTTCTCCTCCATTTATATTTATTTATTAAACCATTTATATGAGGATGGACCCATGGTTATTTACTTTATACTTTGGGTAATAATCTAATACTACTATTTTTTTTTAAATTCGTCATGGTTATCCTTGCATGTTGTGGGGACCTGATAAATGTGTGTTGAAATATTCTGGAAACATTTTTAATGCTCTACTTTTTCACACTGTATATTAAGAGTTTTACACACCTATCATAAGCCAAACGCTGCATATAGGGATCATTCATTCACCCATATCTTTGAGGATTACCTATGTGTCATTATGTGCTATGGCCTAGGGATTCAAAGAAAAATTGAGGCACACCTGGTTCCTGCCTTCACTGAGCTTACATTCTAGTGGAGGAAAAAAAAACATATTTCATTCTACAGATGAGAAAACTGAAGTTAAGAGGAAAAGGGATTTGTCCAAGTACACAGTTGTGAGCAGGACTCAGATCTGACTTCAGAGCCAAACCTCTGTAACCATAATCCCTGCTGTAAGTCGGCCCAGAAGTCAAACGACCTACTCTTTCTTCATCCCAGCCCTGTAAATGCCTCAGGAAAAATGACTTGACAGCCAGCAGGTTGGAGCACATCTATGACTTTTGAACTTAATGAGAAAATCTCTCTCAGTAATTCAGTTCTATATTTGAGCTAACCAAACTCTAGGCTTTGAAAACATCATCTGATGTTGGTATAAAGAAACACAATACAAACAATAAGGTTAGATTCATCTCGTATTTAATAATTAAATTCTAAAAGTGGTAAGAAATGTAGCTTTTGTTTTTACTTTTTTAAAGAAACAGATAACTTAGTAAAAATCAGAAAATACCGGTATCACTTGGATCCCACCCTAGATTTTTTTGCCATCACCTGGACCCACCCTAAACAATCAAGGATGCGTTTCTGACACCCATTTCAAATACGCGAAACTGAAAGACATGATTGTGTATATAATAATAAAATCACTATCTAAAGGGGATTATCACACTATGTACACATAGTTGTTTCCTTCTGACTCAGAATATTAAGAGAAAGTCAACATATTCATAAACAAGTTTTAATAACTCTCACCATAGAGTTTGCCCCCAAATAGGAAAACTACACATTGTTTCATTTCAAAAAGTTACAAGTTTAGTGCTTGGAAAATCCAGCAGGTAAGCAGCCGGACTAATCAGAGTCTGTTTTTGGAACTGCCTGCTAGCAAATGAGCAGGCTTCTGTCCAGGAAGCCTTTCCTGAGAGGGAGGGAGACGAAGGTGCTATTTACATGCCAGTCTGGATGCCTCAGTACCGCCTGTTCATCTTCTTGAACTTTTCATAGTGATAGTCATCAGTGGCCTTCTCGTTAGCAGGGCGCTTGCGGTTAGGAGGGGACCCTGAGAAGGAAAAGAACAGCAAAGGCTGTTGGCCTGCTGGAACCCATTGCTAGACTCTACTGCACACAGGCAAGGACCATGCCGGTCTTGTTCCCCACGAGAGCCCCGTGCCCAACCCAGAGCACAAGAACACAGTATAGCCTCAGTAAATACCTCTTATTTATGAGTAACTTTTAATTTATTTCTGTTTATTGAAAATTTTTAACTTCTTGGGTCTCTGCTGTGCTTGATAGCCCAGTGGATCCTCATGGCAACCCCAAGAGGTAGGTTCTATTACTATCCCCATTTTATAGATGAAGAAACCAATGCTTGGCAAGGGGAAGGCACACGGTCAGGGTCTAGAGCTTGGACTGGAACCCAGATGTCCTGGCTTCAAAGCTCAAGCTCCGCCCCTGCCCAGCCCCACTCTGCCTCCATGGGGCCCCAGAGCACTGACCACTCTGGGCAGCCCTGAGGCCTCAGGTATACTCACGTTCAGGCTCTGGCTTCTCTGTGTCACCCACTCTCAAGGGTCGGGCTTTGGGCTCTTCTTTGTTTCTCCGTATGGGAGCATTGAGCTCCTCATGATAAACTGGACCAAAAGAGACCAGAGGACACATCAGACAGAATATGGAGTTCCCGGGACCTCAATCCAAACAGGGGAAGAAGGGCGGGGTTGCATTTCCTGAGACGCTTACACCGGTTGTGCTGCACATAATTCACAGCCATGTTGGTAGGCACAAAGGATGTCTCACTGTCTTTCTTCTTGTTTTGCTGCTCTGCCAGCAGACGGGCCTTGGCATCCTCCGTGGAAATGATATTTTTTATTTTAGCACTATGGGGAGAAAGAAACCACACCACATTTTAGATCACAGCATCTTTAGTACTCGATGGAATTAAGTGTTGAGGCTGGCAGCCCACCGCTGCATAAGGAAAGCATCTGTCCTAGGGCACAGCTCTCTGTAGTTTACCAAGCACCCGTGAAGTCACATTCTTAAGGCACTCCCATAGCCATCCAAGAACTGGAGTTTTTTCTCTCCTGATCAAGAGGAAATGAAGCCTCAGAGAAGTAAAGAGAACTGCCTAAGTCTTAAAGCTAGTGAGAAAAGAGGGAACCCAGAAGTCTCCTAACTTTCTACTGTACCCAAAGATGATTCTGACCATTGTATTTCTCCCATGACAACCCCCTTTACAGATGTTTTGTAGTTAAATGAAAGGAGGATCATGGGGGAGGGGTGGGTGAGCCTTTAACATGGCTCCTGCTAGAAGAAACCGAAGAATAAAGGGCCTGATTAGAACAACTGAACAGCTGTGAACAAAGGCTAAAGAAACACTTCTGCTTTCATTGGTCAGGGTCCCCTGAGTCTCTTCAATTCCTCTGACCAAGCCTTCAGAGTAACTCCTGGTGACAATCTGCCAGAGAGATTCTAGTTTTTATTTGTAGGTTCCCAAGGACACAGGTAAGAAACTGTGTCTGTAACTTTTAACTGGAAAGCAGAGAGCTCTTCCTTTTGCCTAGGGGTCTGCAACATACTCAATGCCGAGGTCCACCTCGGGGATGCCACTCAGCATCTGGTTGGAAAGCATCTCCTCAGTCTTCTTTGCTGAGGAAACGCGGATGTTTTCCGGAAGTTCATAAAGACAGTCCTCTGCATTCTTTGGCTTGACTTTCTGCTCCTCATGTTCCACAATCCCTTTCCTCTTCTTTAGCTCTGTCTCAATGTACTTCATCCTGAAATGAGAAACCCACAGGTCTCAGAGAGGAACAGGAAGGTCACAGCAGCTGTCTTCTAAATTAGTGGTCCCCGACACTGGCCCATAGACAGGTGACAGTCCACAGAGAAATGAGAAAAATAAAAACAACTTTTTTCATTAAGTTGGAAATTTTCGACTTAAAACACCAACCTATATTGTGAGATTATGTCCTACTAATCTATTGGTGTTATCGCATATAAACTTCTTTGAAGACAGAAAGATGGTGGTTGTTTAACAGCCTTGTTGGCAAAATAACAAGTGGGCGAGTCCATGTTTATCCCTGCAATGTTTGGGGGAAATATTACTAGCCATGGAATCTAAAATCCCAAGAACTACCCTTTTAAAAAACTTAAAAAAAAATTTTTTTTGTAGAGACAGGGTGTCACTATGTTGCTTAGGCTGGTCTTGAACTCCTGGGCTCAGGCAATCCTTCCCCCTCAGCCTCCTAAAGGGCTGGGATTACAGGTGTGAGCCACCATGCTTGGCCCCTTTTAAAGAACTTTTAAGAGGTTTTCAAAGTTCTCAGGCGTGGGAGGTAGGGAGAGAGGGGACAATTTTGACATCTTTTAGACAATTCTAGAAATGTCATCTGTGACTATATATCTTGGACCTATCTGACTAGAGCCCAGCTCCAATCACTCACGACCAGACAGACTGACACTTACATGTCTGCATCCTCATCTCTTCGGTTGGTTTCTGCAGAAAATGAAGTCCCCAGGTGAAGGTCTTCCTCTTCACTGATCCTGAAGGGAGAGAACAATGAGGCAGAGCTTTCAAGTCACAACTCATTGAGGCTGAGTTTTATTTCCTACGGAAAAAACAAGGACACAACCAAAAATTATAATATCTGTTTATGGCTCGGAGAAAATATACGATATGGTATGATATATAAATAGAAGCAGTTCTAGAAATATATGCAAGCAAACTGTTGGCCTCCAGTGATACTTCTGAGGAATGAGTGAGTGGACACAGCTGTCTCTTGGTATCTGTTCTAGAACTCCTTGAGGATGCCAAATCTGTTGATGGTCAAGTCCCTTATATAAACTGGTGTACTATTTGCATATAACCTATGCATATCCTCCCATATACTTTAAATCATCTCCAGGTTACCTATCATTCCTAATACAATGTAAATGCTATGTAAGTAACTGTTATACTGTACCCTTTAATTTATATTATTTTTTACTGTTGTATTGTTTTTTATTTTTTCTGAATATTTTCAATTTGCATTTGGTTGAATCCACAAATGAAGTACCAGTGGAGGTAGAGGGCGGACTGTACTTTTATTTTTTAAACTTTGTAATTGTGTTTTTATACAAAACTTACACATGGGTTTGTAAAAAGTAACGTACTTTTACAGATGGAGTCTTTCTACTGCTCAGCTCTAAGCTAAATTTTAAAGAGTTTTTGTCTTCTTTTGTTTTTAAGTAAGATACTCTTTGCAAAACACAAAGGCTACTTCAGGATGGCCCATGCACACTGCTGCTGCAGGCCCAGCTCTCGGAGGACAAACAGACCCTGGCAGGGACAAGGTGAGTTTGCATCTCACCCTGTTCTGCACTTACTTATCTTTGCCCCTTTCCTTCAGTTTCTTCATATCCACCATACCACCTGTCTTCATTTGAAAGGGATCATCCTGCAGAAAACAAACATAGCTTAGAAGAAGTATCTACACAAATGGCAGTGGAATTTTTTTTTTTTTTTAAAAGCACAATCACCCAACTGAAGAGCAGCCACAGGAAGGACTCCCATAACTGCCAGAGAAGACTCCATAACTTACCACTAGTGTGGTTTCCTCTTGTACCTTCTCTCCCACCAGCAGGGCCACAGCACTAAGCAAAACCAAACGAGGAGGAGAGAGAGAGAAAAACGGCACAATTCAGAGATGAGGAGGAACACTTAGGAGGTTTGCAGGTTGCAATGTTAGTGCAAGGGGGGAATGAGGGGTAGGCAAGAAAGCCAGCTGGAAAAGCCCATAAGAATAAAATGGGGCTCAACGAGCACTGCAGATGTTGGGGTGGGGGATGCAATGGCAGTGAGTGAAGTGCTACACTTTCCTGCAAAGCCATTTGGCATTATCTTGGCCTAGAAATCTCATTTCTAAGATTTTGCCATCAGGGAAAATGCAGCTAAAGTCAAATGTAAGAGAATATCTACTGCTGCTTTATTTGATGGTGAAAATTTACAAAATGACCTACATGTCCCAAAATAGGGGATTTGTTAACAAATTATGGTACATACATCTGGTGGAATATTATTAAAAAGGCCATTATTCTGCCATCCTTGTGAAATAGAAAAAAAGGAGCAATTTTTGAAAAATATTCCACAATATGGGTGAATGCCCACAATATCAGAATGAGTTGAGAATAGCAGGGAATAAAAGTATATATAAAGTTGCTCACAATCTTTACAAAAAAGAGAGAATGAGAGAGAGAGGAAACAAATTGGAAAAAATATTAAATATTAACACTGGTTATCTCAGGGATGGCAGAATTATGGGTGTTTATTTTCTTGATTAAACCTTTCTAAAATTTTCAAACTCTTAAAGATCAACGTGCATTTCACAATTAATCGGATGCAATAATAGCATGAGATAATGACCTGTTTCTGTATCTCTGGAGCACACCCCAAGACCACATGGCTCAGGGCATGTCCTGGTTAAACATCTGCAAAAAACGCTGGTTCCCTCTTCAGGCAGTGGAAGGCGTATAGTGTGTCAAAAGAAGAAGCTATGTCTGTGGAAGCATTTATGACAGCTACCCGGGCGGGGAGGTGTCCGTCATCCCCGCTTCCTCCTACCCCTTCCCCCGTCCTCCGCAGTACCCACCTCACTCCGTTGGGTCTTTTCCTCAAGTTCTGCACCTCTCTGGTCTCTTCTAGTTTTAATCTGAAAAGAAAACGGCAATGCATAGGTAGGCTAAGAGATCCTCCGCGGAACCCAGAGCCAACAGGCAGCTTTGAGGGCATCCCTGCCCCGCTCGCTGTTGACCTGCCAGAACAGTGGTCCAGAGGGCGAGCCTGCGCCTAGACCCACCGGGAGTCAGATCCACTGCGCATCCCGGGGGCATCTCTACCAACCGTGCGGCCTCGGGGCGGCGGCCTCATCCCCCAGAGGTCTCAATTTCTATGTCCGCAGAAGGGACAACAATCCCGGCTCACACTTAATAATAATGTCAGCGAAGGACCTGGGGGGTGGTGAGTGCCCCAACGCAGTCTCTCTTCTCCTGGCCTCTGGAAACCCTGCCCCAAACGCACCGAACCTCCTCTGAGTCCTGCTCATCTTCCTCCGACTCCGAGTCGGCTCGGCGCCGACGGAACGTCTTCCCGGTGGCCGGCATGGTGGCGCAGATCCCGCGGTGCAGCCGCCACTCCGCTGCGCCGTGGCGCGGGATGCTTCCGGCGCGCCGCAGTGCAGTCAGAGCGCCAGTACCGCCTGGCCCCGCCCCACGCCCGCCCGGTCCCGCCCCTCAAACGAACTGCCCGCCTGGCCACGCCCTCCACGTCCATGACGTAAACGTCTCCCGATTGGACGGCCGAGAGGAGGAGGCGGGGCGAGGTGGCCAGATCCCACGGCCCTGCGCTGCGCAGCGGAGGATGCGCTTGACTGACAGGCGGCGGCGGCGCGGCTGCGACGGCAGGTGGGTTCCGGGCCGCAGCCGGCTGCTTCTGGGGGCCGGGCCTTTCCGCACAGAGACGACCCCAGCCCGACTGCGAGCTGGCGGGGCCTGGCCCTGCTAGGTACGCCGGACGTCGCGGTCAGGTGAGCGGAGCCCGGGACCCCTGGCCGCCGGCCCTCTCCCCTCCTCCAGTCGGTGCCCAGGGGGCCACTGGGGCCCTGGCACCCACTTCGAGCCCCTTGGGGGCTCGCGGTTTCTCCGGAACAGGGGCCGCCCATCGTTTTCATTTCTGCCGGGCCTGTCCCAGCGTTGGAAGCATGCGTGTGGCGTCTCCGGGCGCTGACTTTTATCTCCTCAGGCTTCTCAGCCCTGACGTGCATTTTTTTCTTTAGGAACAAAAGATGACCACTTCTTTGCGGTGGCGAATTAAAGTCCCAACGCCGACTGCCCCGCAAATAATGGCCTCCAGCTTCTTCCCAAGGAGAGGCGCGTCTGATGTTTTGAAGCCACTCAGGAGGGTTTGAGGCCGGAGGGCTCCTCCTCGGTGCTTGCCTGCCGCCTCCCTGGACCTTCACGGGTCTTGTTTTCCTCCGTTTGTCAGGAGGACCGTCGCTCTGCCCTCCGCCCCTTCCACCCCAAAGATGCTGTGAGCATAAAGTTTATTTGAAAAACGGTTAGGAGCAAACATTTAGGAAATAACTAAATGCATAAATAGCGGCTTCTAGGACTTTTAGGGACCCTTTAAATAATAACAGTTTTCCTTTTTTTAATATGGACTGGCCCTTTACTTTGAAAATAACTACCTCTTATTAAGAACTTACTATGTAGCACGGCACAGGGCTAAGCATTATTTCATTGGATTCTCCCGACAATCCTAGGAGGCAGATTTAGTTTCTCATTTTACAAATGAGGGTGCGGAAGCTCACGGGCATATGTGTCTCCAGTTTCACAGCTAGAAGGTGGAGCAGGGATCAATCACGGCTCCGTCTGGGCTGCACGGTTGGCACAGAACCTGGCACAGTAGGAGTTGAGTAAATGTTTGCTGCTGCGGCCACTATTACAGCTCTTTGGCCGGGGGGAGGGGCTGATGGAGACAGTTTTTGGTTTCCTCTTCTGGAAGACCATTCTGAAGCAGAGCAGCATTTCTGGAATGCCTTTCTCTGCAACAGTCTCCTCTGAGATTGTTGTTCTCTCGGAACAGCCTTTTGTCTTTGGTCAAAAGCCATATATTAAAAGTCTCAGGCTGGGTGTGGTGGTGGCCCGTAATACTAGCCCTCTGGAAGGTGAGGCGGGAAGATCCCTTGAGCTCAGGAGTTCAAGACCAGCCTGAGCAAAATTGAGACCCTGTCTCTACTAAAATTAGAAAAAATTAGCTGGGTGCAGTGGTGTGTACCTGTAGTCCTAGCTACTGAGGAGGCTGAGGCAGAAGGATCGCTCGAGCCCAGGAGTTTGAGGTTGCTATGAGCTAGGCTAACACCATGGCACTCTAGCCCGGGCAACAGAGTGAGACTTTGTCTCAAAAAAAAAAAAAAGTCTCAAAGTCTTGCTCTCAGCAGACCGGTTCAGCCAAACCCAGATGCACATGGCACTCACTGGACACCATGTCCCTGTCAACTGATGGAGAGCCTCCTTGGAGTTGCTTAGGAACCCAGGGAGTCAATGTTGGCAGCTTTCACACTCTGAGGTGGCTTTGATTTGCCCACCCAGCAGCCCTCCCACCAGGGAGTACTGGACACCACTAAGGAAAGTGCCAGAAGGCCAGCGACATTTCTGGACTCCTCATTTGAAGTCCCAGGGGAGAACATCTGGTACAAATGAGCTGCCCCACTCCTACTCCGTGAGGCCAGAGTGCCCACTGATAACTCCCCACCTGTGCTGTGGCATGCCCAATTGAGTTGTTTGGGAGAGTAATGCTGAAAACATGGCAGTGGTGAATCTAGCAGTGGGTGGCTGTGTTGAGAGACTGCAGCCCCTCTAAGTCTTGCTGGGCCCTTTTAGGTGTGGGATGAGACTGCCTCTCAGAAGAAGCTTCCAGGAAATACAGGTTTTGTGCATTTCAAAGATGAGTCTTATGTTTTAGTTTTGTTAGGGGCTTTAGTTGTTTTAAGGAAATGTATAGGTTTGGTTTGGTTTGCTAGCTCCTTTCTGGAGCCAGATGAAATGCTGGCATATTTCAGGGTTTGGAGAGCATTAATGTCTGAGTGGATTAATGCAAAGTGATACAGTTCATAGCCCAACCATAGATAGTATTTCACAAATGCTTGTTGGACCAATTTATTTATTCAACAGATATTTACTAAGCATTTACCATACGAAGCAGGCACTGTTGTAGGTGCTTGAAATGCATCAGTGAGCAAAAGAGACAAAAGATTTAGTGGAGTTTATGTTCTAATAACTTAAAGTATGTAAAATGTGTTAGGTGATAAGTGCTATGGAAAAGAGAAAAAATAGAACAAGGCAAGGGAATCAGCAGTGGGAGGGAGGATTGGGTCTCAAATTTTAATTAGCGTATTCTGGTTTGTGATTTGGTTGGTAACATGACAGATGAAGCAGTGGACTGAATTATAGGCTCTGGGTCCCAGTTCTGCCAGCTTGCCATGTGACTGTGGGCAGGAGCCTTGCCTTCCCTGAGCCGCCGCCTCTATCACAATCCCTGTTCTGCCATTTACTGGCTTTGTTGCACTTGGTGTGAAGCTCTCTCACCCTCAGCTGCCGGTGGTTTGAGGGGTCTTGAACTTTTTAATTAATACTTTACAGAAGCATGTATGTATTTACATTGAGCTCAAGTCCTGATAGTGGGATATAAAACAGTGATGAAAGAGTCAAGCTCTTAGTGTTTTTTTTTGTTTGTTTGTTTGTTTTTTGAGACAGGATCTTGCTCTCTTGCTCAGGCTGGAGTGCAGTGGTGCAATCATAGTTCACTGTCACCTCAAACTCTTGGGCTCAAGTGATCCAGGTAGCTGGGACTACAGCTGTATACCACCACCACCCTTGGCTAGTGTTTTTTGTTTCTGTTTTTTGGTAGAGATTGGGTGGGGGTGGGGGGTCTCACTATATTGACCAGGCTGGTCTTGAACTTCTGGCCTTAGGTAATCCTACCACCTTAGCCTCCCAAAGTGCTGGGATTACAGGTGTGAGCCACTGCACCTGGCCTTCTTAGCTTTTCATCTTATCAAGATAATAAAGAAAAATCCAGCTGGTTCACATTAGTGTAAAGAGAATACACTTGGAGAAGACATGAACATTCACAACAAATATTTAAAGACATAGAAAAGTTGACAAGTCTCTTTGGTTCCAGTGAGCAGTAATAGATCAATACATAGAAATTTCAGAAAAGCCAATTTCCATTTATAATAAAGACTGACTTGAAACAACTGCAGCTGCCCTCTCGGAAAAGGGCGATTTTTATCATCAATTACTGTGCTCAACTGGGTTTGGACAACTGATCGACAGGGCTTTTGCAGAGCAGAGTCCTTCCTTATGAGGAAGATGAATTATCGAAGATTGCATGGCAGGAGCTGGTAGCGGATCATGATACCTGGAAAGGGAGGATCTGATTTCAGGCCCTAGAAATCATGATTTTCCTGGCCCTTAGTTTCCATATCTATGAATTTAGATTATTCCCAACATTTCTGGGTCTGAATGTCAGTTTCTGCTTCTGCTTACATCCCATAGAGTGTGAGGCTTCCTGTGACCTAGGCTAGTCACTGCTGCCAGCCTGGTGTAGCCCCAAATCCACATCCTCTCCAGTTAAGTGGCTCTTACAGAGCCCAGAGCAGAGGCAGTATCAGGCTTTGGGCTCACAGAGATACCATCCTAGACTTAAGATAGTTAAGTTGAGCAGAAAAATGCCGTGTGAAGAATGACTCAGAACAGGCTCTTGTGAGCAGGCGTCCCTTGGAGTGTGGGTGTTTGGATCTGGGGAGGTGAAGATCATTGCCCATGCCAGGCTGGCTGGGGCTGTTTGGGACATTGTGGAGCCGACAGGTCTGAGCGCTGACTTTAGGGCAGGGAGTTGTGGGTTTGAGCTCTGGTTTGCAGCTCAGTAGCTGGGCGACCTCAGCGAGTTATTCCACCTCTGAGCCTCAGTTTCTCCATCTTTAGTGATGGAGATGGATTTGGCTTGGAATGTTACTCCCTCCCAGGGTGGCTGTAGGGCTCCAGTGAGGTCACAGGTGAGAGCTCACGACTGAGCTGTGGTGTCAGTTCCAGTACTCAGGCCAACAAGGCAGGTGGCAAGTGGGTCAGGCCTGGGCAGATGAGACTTGGAGGTATGTGGGAAGCAAGGCTTGGCCAGGCTTGGAGGGGGCCTGAGGGTTCTGCTTTACGAGTCAGAAGGAAGATGGAGTCTTAGGGAGTTCAGACTGGGTGAAGCGAAGGGGTGAGCTGTGTTTGTGACTTAGAACGGAGAGAAGACAGCAGGAGGGAGAGAAAGGGCATGTGTTCTCAGGGACACCGGGGAGCATGAAGGGGTGCAGGGATGGGCGTGTGGAGAGTGGGATGGCTGATGTGGTGAGGATCTGCGTGGGCAGGGCTGGTGGGCATCCTTGCGTGGGCGGGAGGCTAAGTAGCATCCCCTTCCCTATCCTGAGGGACTGGTCCTCGCTGGGAGGACCAGGATGGAGCCAGCACCTCCTGGAAAGTGATGAGTAATGGCGCGTGTGGCAGCCAGGCGCAGATGCGCTGCAGGCCTGCCCCTTCTCAGGCCCTGCCCTCAGCTTTGCCCCTGTGGGGTGGCCCAGGGAGAGAAGAGTGCCTGCCCTCACTCAGGGTGACGCATCCTGGAAGTCTCACCCAGGGCCAGGAGTGGTGGGCTCTTTGCC